AATTCAGTGCATCGAATCTTCTTGCTTGTACTGATAACTTCAGCCACATCTGGGAGCATCTGTGGAAAGACCGTGGGCTGTGCTTGCCAAGACTGGGAACCTGAATTGGAAAGCAGTCAGCTCCCTTCCTTCCCTGCTTAAAAAAAGGCTTCCAGCCTGGGAGGCACTCTCAGTCAGCTGGCTAGAGACATCCCCCCATCCGTGACAAGCCCTTCCAGCTCAGAGCGTGATGTTCAGGTGGATGGCACGTTCCACCAATGCTGGCCAGAGCATCTGGAGAACTTTCCATTCTCAGGTCTCCTCAGAGCATAATACCATGTCAGAAAAAAATTAGAATTAAAAAGAGAGAGAAACTAATAAAATGAGTCCAAATGCATTGAGCGAAGACTCTCACGAGGGAGTAGTGCTACATTTATCCTGACGACTAGTACTCCTCCTCCTCCCTTTCACATTGCAATCACAGGGTGCCAAAGCCAGCCTGCCAGTTGGCTTTTTTGCCTTGTAAGCAGGTGCCTGAGGAGTTGAAAAGTTGGCTGTAGTTTCAGAGCTGAACTTAGGTGAGATTATTTTTACATGAAGCATGTAGGGTTATGTTGAAGTTGGATGATGCAACTCTGTGAAAGGGTTCCCTCTAGAATTTCTTTGTGGTTTCTCCATGCACAATTCCTTCCCCTCTCCTCTCCTCCCTCTTCCTTCTCTCTTTCTGGTGTTTTCTGTAGTCCTTATCACTGGTGTACTCAAATATAAATTAGGTTCTCAGGTTTTAGCTCCCTTTTATTTGTCTAGGTTATTCAATGTTTCCTCACATTGTTTAAATGAAGAATGTTTCCTCTCCCTTAAGAAGATTTAAAGAAATGGGGAGGAAAAGCTTTGGGGTTTCACTGAGCCCATGTCAAAACTTGAAAATTATATTACCGATAGTAAATCTGCATATTTCTAGTTATACCTCACCAGCATAGCTTTCTGCTGCCTCTGCTGCAGTCTTTCTTCTGGCCAGTGATTCCAAGATTCCAAATCCATCATCCTTTTTTTTTTTTTTTTTTTTTTAACTCAGCTGGAATAGGTTGCTTCTGAAGCACTTCTCATACTGCAGCACAGCTTTCCTAGCTCCTCCTGGCAAGGGAATGTGCGTGCACTTTATAAAGAGAACATTGCTGTCTAATCCTGTGCATGGTAGAGATGAACAGGCTGGTTATGAGTCTACTTAAAATGTAGTCATGCTGACTTTGGTGCTCTGTAGTTACAAAGGAGGCTTTTGCTTTCATAGTGCATGTGGGTGACAGCAAAATTAATACACTTCTCTCTGTTGCTGCAGTCTTCTACTGCTAGAAACTTCATTAAGTTGTGCTGAACATGGTGCATGATGCTTTTGATTGGTTGGGAACTTCATACATCCTATTCTTATCCTAGGTGACTTCAGGGCAGACCTCCTACTTAACTCATCAGCTGTCATTTTTTCTATATCTGCACATTTCGTAAGTGGTTTTGCAGTATAAATATTAAATAACAGGGAAGAAATATCTTTTCCCATTACTGACAGTAATGGACTTAAAAATAAAAGTTTAAATTTTGTTTGGATATCTTAGTTAATTTCTCTGCTTAAGTCAAATTAAAATCTGAATAAGACCCACAAATCTTTAGGCTACCGTGGACTCTAAAATATATTAGAGGTATGTGTCCTCTCATGAAGGATTAGACCACTGTCAGATTGAAATCTGCCTGCTGGAAAATTGAATGTTTTTTGTCTGACTGACTGTATTCCTTCTGTGATATGTAAATCTCAACTAAAAGTCTCTTTGAACATTGGGGTAGTCTAAAACATGCAGCCATTTAAATGTAAACCGGTATAGTGGGTTTACTCAGGCTTGCCAGCCCTCACTGCTGAGGATGGTGGCAGGGTCTTTTTGCAAGTCCTTCCAACAGCAGGAAGAAATAGTGAAATGTGTTAGCAGGTGATACAACAGATAACAATGTCAACAAAGTAGTCTAAAATTATGTAGAGTTAAGTACGTCTACACGTTTAAGTGCAATAATTTCCCTAGATTTTTTATACATTCCTTATCACACAGGTATCTCAGTACCCCCCAGATCATGAACTTCAGTGGAAAAATAGATTAGCTCTCCAGTTTTCTTCTCAATCCCACCTGTTTTCATTTTTTCAGGTTTTTTTTCTCCTCACATTATAAGAAACAGCTGGCATACCTGCAGCTGCTGGAATACCTCCAGGCACAAAGAAAGAGATTGTGGGCAGTAAGACAACAGCTGCAGAAACTACATGGACATAGGATCTGTGCTGTGGGAGGACTGTGCTGTGAAGTGACATCTAGTTGTGGTCAGGCTGGCGTAGAGGTGACAGCAGCAGGGACTGAAGGAGTCGCAGAAACCAATGCATGCTCTGTCTCTAATCCCTAATCAGTTCCTATCATCCAGGATTGTTTGGGCTGGCTATGCTGATAAAGGGTCTAGGATTTCTCTTTTTTTCTGAGGTTAGAGAAATGGATTTGTCCACCATAAAGTTCCTTCCAAAGCCAGTGTAACTGAAGTGGTAGATAGCTCTGACCCTAGGAACTAAGTGTTCATGTAGCTTGCCAACAGTATGAGTTTTTCCAGCGATTCCAGGACTACTGTCTTGCAGAGATTACTCAACAAACATGTTTTGCTGTTAATGTACAATGTATTTATTCTCATTACTTATAGGAATTAGTTTGTGAACATGCAAAACTGGGAGCACTTCTGTTTTGCTGGGTCTGATATTCATAGGTGAGGCTTCCCCATCCTGATTCACAAATTAAATAACTTTTAAAATACAGACTTTTTTTGTGATAAATTCAGTTGCAATAAAGCAAGACTTCCTGAGAAAAATCATCCTGTAATGAAAATAATCAACCAATTATGGTTTGAAAAACATACTTGGAGATAAAAAGCTGATCATGTTGTTGAGATTTGCCCATTTACAGTGGCAGGTGAGAATTTTACCCAACATGCTAAATGATTTGTCAGTTCTTGGATATGTTCTCTGTTCATTGACGGTATTTTTGCAGCATGACTAGCAAAGATACCCAGCTTCTTTTATAGAATGTCCATCATCAACCTATAGGACAGACAGTACTATTATTAATTATGTTGGTTGCTTAAGCTTGTGCAGACTCAAGGCTTCTCCTTCAGCTAAATTTTGATAGTTTCATACTTCAAATGGTTTTCTTTTAAAAATCACTGGAGTGAACAGTACTTTCATGTAGTTTAGTTACATTCCTCATGCTTTCAGTGATTAGTCCCATTTTCATACCCTAAATAAATAATCATCTCTGTCTACTTTTGCAAACAGGCTAAAACAGTTCCTAAAGGAGGCATTTTGGACAATGGCTACAGAAAAATTATTTTATAAAACAAATGCAATGCTGTACACAGAACTATTTTTTGTTAGTTTTTGAGGCATATGTAACCGTTCAAAGTCTAATACTGCGCAGGTTCCTGTTATGCAACATCCTCTAATATGGACAAACATCACAAAAAACTTAAGACACAGGTATTAACTGTTTTCAAAACATGGATTAGCTCTGGCCAAGTTGAGAAGACTCTTGAAGGGTAAAAAGGGATGCTTGTAACAGGAGGGAAATACCCAGGACATTGCTGGTGGGCGACAGCAGGGTATTTCTGAGCACTGACATTTTGAGCAATAAACTTTCTCAAAAAGTGCTCTAAGTGTGGCTGTGACACCACTTTGTTTAATGAACATGCATCCTCCTCCTCATCTTAAGTATTTCATCCCTTTTCCAAACTAAGCATCACCTTCCTTTGTGACTTTGGGTGCACTCTGGTGCTCCAGTTTCCCCTCAAGTGAAACGTGATGTGAGGACATATGTCTTCACTAGGGGTGGTTCTTCTCAGAGACATGTATCTCCAGAAATCCTGTGAATTTAGGAGCCTGTCGTAACAGAGAGGGTTGTAGCTGATTCTTTGGGAAAATTAACATTTCCCAGTTTCAATAAATTTGTGGCTTCCCTTCCCATGGAAACAAGCAGGGGCTTGCCATAAACATAGAGTCATAGAATCACAGAATGGTTTGGGTTAGGAGGGGACCTTAAAGATCATCTAGTTCCAACCCCCCTGCTGCAGGCAGGGACAGCCTCCACTAGACCACGTTGCCCAAAGCCTCGTCCAACCTAGTCTTAAAAAACATGGTCGTGCTTGCAAGTAACTGTGGGTTATCAAGGAAGATCTGTGATGCACTAGATGACTGAAGGGTTTGGGTTTAGTTTTCTTATTGAAATGCTAACTTTGAGCTCAATAAAAGCTTTTTTGGAGTCTACTCCTATAAGTTCCCATCTTAAAGTTCGTACATTGTTCTATTCTTCCATTTTCTCCAGTATCAGAGATCGACAGGTTGTTGGGTTTTCCTGTCAGATATCAGTCTACCTTAGAAATAATTACAATGCTGAAGCTCTTAAGTGCAGTGCCAGAGAGCACTAGTCTGATTTATTGAGCTTATTAGGTTGAGTACTCCACAACATGGAACAAAAAGCAGGCCTTTCCAAAAGAGTGAGTATGAGATAAGAAATACCAGAGTGGGAGGCAGATAAACAGAGAAACTTGAGAAAACAGTGAAAAAAAGTGTCCAGCCTCACTAGGCAGTGGTCTCGGTATTGCAATTAAACTGTTTTTCTGCTTTTATAGGAGAAGACAGAATAAGGCATTTTGTGGGTGGCATTTTTGGTGAGATGCAATTCTTGCTTTAGAAGAGAAAGGTTAAGTGATTTGCCCATTACTACACAGAAGACAAAGGTCAGAAAAGCAGATAAATGACAGCCTTTTGGGCTCCCACTTTTGTAACCTGTTCACTACAACAGCTTTCCAAGTTTTCTAAATAGTTTCTAATCTAATAGCACAACAAACAAACAAACAAACAAAAACGAAAATGCAAAACTCACAAAAGTGTATCCTTTCAGTTATTTGATCAACATTGTTAAAACAAAAGGAAGTAAAATTGTTTTCCTTTGTAGGATTTTGAGATGAACAGTGAGCTGAAAGGGAATGTGTTCAATTTGCTGGAAGAAGTTTTGAGAGACCCTGACCTCCTGCCACAAGAAAGGAAAGCTACTGCAAATATACTGAGGTAAATACATTTCTAATAATTTAGTATGTTAACTGTAGCATGTGAAATAGGGGATTATGTATCATAGAATTCACCGGGTTTTGTTTTTCTCCAGAGTATTTAATTTTGAAGGATTACTGGTTTATTAGCTATTGTGGTTTAAGTTTCATTCATAAAAATACCATCCCAGCAGGAAAAAATGCTTCCTAGTAAAGCAGCAAACCACTCACTATAATACCTTGAGGAACAACTATCTCAATAATGAGATAGGAGTTATCTGCTAAGTGCATGAGAGGCTGGTGATAGCCTAACATGTCATGACATTCTAACAAGACCATGCTTGCACCTTCCTTTGTGTTGACACCCAAGTCCAAAGTTCTTCGGGTAGCTTACAGAAAGGAATTCTTGTTTAATTAGTGCCATGAAATAAAAGACCTTTAAGCTTCTGCATAACCAGGACTCTTTAAATTAGGGTTAGAACACTTTATTTTGTTACTTAGGGTTGGTATTACAGAGTTGAGTGTCTAGTCATGCCAAAGAGACAAATTTTATAAGCATTTATCAATGAAAATAATTTTGTCTACTGAGTGTGAGTATTTTATAGTAACTGATTTTCATGTAAATTGTTCTGCATTACTAAGCAGCAGTAAACATTGAAAGACTAGGCTGTTGTTAAGATACAATGAAAAAACAACAGAAAAATCTAATATGTGCTTTGTTAGTATTTTTGTAAGTATTCTGCTGGAAAGCCTGTAAGAGTGCAATAAATGCAGTGTGTCTGAATTTTCTAAGGCTATTTGACAGGTTTCCCTATCAGACAATTACATGAAAAAAAATGTCAGAAGAATGAGGGGAAAGTAGTTCACCTGGAGGGAAGAAAGTCGAACAAAGGATAAGAAACAAAGATAAGTTCTTAAAAAAAGCACTTCATGCCAATGGGATCCTACTTAATTTTTACATAAATAAAAATAAACCTCCTTTTAAATTAAACTGCATGTACTGGTATTCAACATAAAAATAGTAAACTTGTTTCCTGTATTACCTTGGAAGAAACAGCAAGCAAGAAAAGCAAAAAAGATTAGGATAATGAGGTTTAATAATGTGTGTGACAGCAAAGGTTCTATCAGATTGCTCACAGTGGGAAAAATTATCTTAAGACCTTTTGCTTCTTAAGAAAATAGGATTGGCTGTTCCTGGCAGAGTAATGGAATAGATTTATAGGTTTGTAATATATAAGTTTGTTAGCAATTTCCTGTATCCAGTTTCCAAATAGCCAATGCCATTAGCTGTTGCATCAAAACATGGGACCTTAGTAATTATGTGTAAACTGTAAGTTGCCCCCCCATTTGCATTCTTTTACTGCTGTTCCATGAAATGGTAGGTATTGTTTGTCCTCTCTTTCCTTCTAGCACTTATTACTTTGGTATCTGAGCACAGTATACATTTCTTTCGCGGGGAAAAAAAAAAAGAAAAAAGAAAAGAAAAGTTAAATTCTGGAAGAAGTGAAAATTCTGAAAAAGTAAAATTTTTAAAAATTGAGAAATTGAGGGGGAGGGAAGCAAAAGGAATGACTAGTAGAAATAAAACAATACTCCAAAGTAAAATTCTAGTAAAAATGAAAAAATGTGTGCACAGAAATAGAACTAAAAGTTAATTAAAAATCAACTAATTTAAAATATTTTGTAGAAACAGATTGCATTTTTTAAAATCCTTCTTTCATAGTCATTATACTCACAGTATTTCTGGAAAGTATTGTGGCGCTTTACAAGCAGGCAAGTAAAGCATGGGTAAAATGACCTGTCCATGTTCTCAGTGGGATTTTCTGTTGGAAACAAGTAGAGAATGAAGATTTCCTGAGATGTGGTCCTCAGCCAAACCATCTTTCTTCAGGGTTTGCAGCTATAAACCCTAATCCTGCCATATTTTTCAAACAACATAATTTGATTATAGTTGTGGTCATACAGAATCATAAATACTTGGTTACATTGCACAAACTAGCACTGGAAAAAGAGCCATTGATGGCTCAGCGTGCAGGACTATTCCCTTTGACTGAATGCTGCATGGATGTCCCACTTTCCTTCAAAACAAGGCATGAAATTTAAACAATGGCTAACATTGGTTACCAAAAATCCCTTAGTGCTTTTCAAGACTGGCAATGCTGCTAATGTATATGCATGCTGGACACATCTGTCAAATATTTCGAAGCTAATTCAATTTCAATTCAATTTCAATACTATTTCAACACTAAGTCCAGTCAGCATCAGTGACACAGTATTACTGCCCCAAGGGTTCAGAAAACTGCTATGTTTTCTGTAGCAACCATATTTCAGTAGCAGCTGAAATTACTCCTGTGTCCTATCCATGTGTTTATTATATACACAAACGGCCCATAAACTTTCAAATCAAAGTTGTTGCATAACTAAACTTTCAGATAGAGTCTGTTGCATAAATACAACTTTTGTAATTTAAACTGTAGTTGAGCTGCAGTCAACAGGACATCAGGATATAGTTTCCAAGTTAAAAATGTTATTGCGTAAAATGAACTGTCCCCAGGTCTTACACAGAGGAGAACTGTAACCTGAAGTTTTTGGGCTTGTTCTCCAGCCACACAGGAGGCAGTTATTTGCCAGGCATGTCAAATTTGTTAACAGTTAGCTGGTAAGGAAAAAATTAAGTCTCCAGGAATGAGAACTGCTTCAGGAGCCTTGTGAAGCAATTCTGATTTTGGACAAAAAAAATCATTCAGGTGGGATGAAATGCACAAATGTGTCATATATCTCATGCTTTCGCTGAAAGGATGAGGTCTGGTTTTTAAATCACCTCAGGAAAATGGGTTGTCTGGTAATTAAGAGTGGTTTCAAAAAGCACCGTAGTTACTTCCAAAGATATATTCTCAGCAAGGCTACATAGTTAACTGAGAAGAGGAAATTACAGGATTTAAGAAAGAATCCACAGGTGAATGGAGTTGTTTATGTGTAACTGCAGATCTGTGACAATGACACAGGGGTGCACATTCCTTAATTTTTATTGCACATGAGGAATATTTATAAGCTTTAAAAAGACTGATCGATTTACTGGTCGTAAGCAGCGACCATGTGTCCCATGGAGGCCTGTGAACACATGCTTTGGCTGCCTCAGGAACCATCTCAGCTATTGGGACAGTAAGCAGGAGTCTCTCTGGTCCTCCACTTCTCAGCTTGGTAGAGGATTCAGAGGCAGAACCAGCTCCAGACTGTTCTTTGAAAACTTAACTTTTTAATAATTCAGAATATAAAGCTGAGGAATAGTTTCTGTCAGGAGAGTTTAGCTTTTCTGGCAGGTTGTAAAGGTCCTTGCTCAATTCTGGAAGTGATTTCATGAAGAATGAGAAATCAACAGAAACAAAAGAGAAAATATCAGCATGACTGCATCCTATCTGACAATACAATTCAACCTAGTTGGCAACCAGGTTTCTAGTGCCAGAAGAAGACTCTGAGTAGAATATGAATGACAAAGTTTTTGTGCACTAAAAACAAAGATACTGCTTCTGGTGCAAAAAGAGGACATGGTGACATGGAAATGGTTCTTTTCTTGACATTCTTGCGTGATGCCTCCCGTGGTGCCATGACTGGTTGTGGAAATAAGTCAAAGCAAACATTGAACATGCTTTTCCCATAGAGTTGTCTCAATCCTTGTCTCTGAAGATCACTATTTATTGTAATAGGGACAACCAAGCCTATGTTCCCCTTGACCAAGAACTGCTAAGCTTTAAGCAAACGCTCCAATACTGCACCGAGACATTGTGAAGAGGCACTGTATTCTGCGCCAGTGTATCTCTCATAATATTTTTCTTTTTTTCTGCATCAGATTACATATTTTCTATCATTTGCCAACATGACAGATTACAGTCAATGTTCTGAATGTTAAGAGAAGGCCTGTAATGGAATAAAATTATTTCTTAAGTTCCTTGAACTGTCTATAGGTTGTAAGGACGGGGGAAGGGATTTCCTCTCTGCATTGACTTAGAAAAAATTCCTTAGTGGCACCCACTGTGTCTAACTGAAGCACCTAACCATGAAACAAACTGTAGACAGCTAATGAAGTATTTCATATCATAAATTCAATGTTCAAACACTCATGAAAGAAAGTTCATGCTTTCTGAGCCTAGGTATGGGTATATTCCATGGGCTGTCTCCTTGAAAGATTTTGGGTAAAAATGTCTCTTTTTACAAACTGACCCAGCCTTTGAGTGTATGTGCACATATGTGCATATAAATTTCTTGGAAAATCAGTCCGTTTGTTAGCAGAGATTAGAGGAGGAGGAAAAGTTGGTTTTTATTGCAAAGATATTATGGTCAGTTCTGGGAAAGACTCTGAATAGAATATGAATGACAAGGAAAGTGTTTATGAGAAATACTGAGCTGATTCGTGCCTTCTTGAGTCATCACACAGAACAGCTGGTATTTCTTGCATGATGAGATTTTTTTGAATGACTGACAGAATTTCTCTGCAGGGTGAAAAACCTTTTTATTCAATATCTGTTATGAAAGCTAGGCAAACCTGCTGAAGTATGTTTTGCTTGAGATTTTGTCAGCCTTATTTACTAACCCCTGAAATCTAGGTAAAATTTCATTGATGGTGAAGCAGGAAGGTGTAAAGTTCAAACTGAACAATAGTGAATAAGTTTGACAAATAGACCTATCTGGAGAAAAAAAAAAAAAAGTGGTTCAAGAAACAATTCCTTCTTCTTCCTCAGAATAAATGTAAATTAAATCCAGGGATATGCAAAGGCCAAAATTTGATGGATGACCAATTTTCTGCCTTGTATGAATTCACCAGACAATATATTTCAGGCTCTATAACTTACACTAGCTTTTAAAATATTTTAAAAATACTTTATTTACTGCAAAGGAATGAGGAGACACGTTAATATTTCCCACTAGAAAATTATTTTAATATTTGGAGTAGTCAAATATAAAGAATAAGTTAAATGTGAGAGAGGTCTAATCTTAGCTGCTCACTCTAAGAAAGTTATTTCTTATATATTTATTTCCTTCATTTGTAAGGATAATGATGGACATATCGCCCCATTCAGTCCTCCCTGAGAGGGATACTGTTAAACAGTCTAGCAGAATCTCTCCTTACCTTTGCGTTCTCTCATAACTCTTCTCATATGGACATACGCTTCTTACCCAGCTTCCAGAAGGCTCTCCAAGGTGTGCAATGGGAACTGCCCAAGCAGAACTGATCCGCTCAACATATCTTCCTAGGCCTATGTTGAAACTAGCTATCCCAGTACTGACAACAGTGCAGAATGAAGTGGAAGCTGCTGTTGATGCTATCAAAAAGTACCTTTATCCAGTCTAGAGATGTGTTGTCCTCTGCACATTTAAACATAAAGCATTTATGAATAAAAGGAGAATTTACGTCATGAGACCACTGTGTTAGAGAAAAAGCAGCAGTCACTTCTTCAGAATGAGGGATTGGAAGTCTACATAAAATATCAGACGTCATGTTAGAGAGTATCAGGAAGAAAGATGGGGAGAAGTTAACTATTTTCAACCTTTTAAGAATCTCATGTTTCCTATTTCATTTTGTATTAAGCAAATACAATAATTTCTGTACCAAAGATGAATAGTCCAGCCAATGTAAAGTTATATGTAATGAACTCAGATTATGAGTTTACAAGATTACTGAGAATACTTGGAACAGAAGGCCAAGCCCTCTCTTTTTTTTATTGCCAGGAAGCACATGCTCTTGTCATACGGTGAACAATACCTTTCTGCAGTCAATCAGTCACGTGATACAGCACAAAATAAGCTGCTCAGGAAAGACAGATTGCCAGTCTATTCACAGTTACCAAGGCTGCACACAGTTATTATCTGGAGAAGAAGCTTAGGGTTCTCCTGAAGAAGCAGACATTCAAGACTTTGCACAGGTTGCCCATCAGACATAAAATGTTTCCAACTCCTGTGAAGAGAGAGGCATTTTGTGTGGATTTTATAGGCTGAAAATGAAGGCAAGGAAGTTTCTTAGATCCTTTCTCTGTGTATCTGCATTTGATTTTAACTTAGTCCTCCAATTTGGCAAACCAAAAGGAAACAAGAGCAACCCACCACAGAATAACCTAGTGTACTAAGCATTAATATTTCCTCCCCACCCACATAGTACAGTTTCCATATCTTACATTCATAGCTAAAGTCTCCAGACAATACAGTCCTGTCCTTTTAACCTTTTCCCCAGCCAGTACATGGAAAGTCTGTTACTACAGAGTGCAAAAATAAAGACTTGAGGCACCATGAGAAAATACCTGGTCCAGTTTCTGTGCTTTCTAGAATAATCTGTAGAGCTGAATCTTCTTTGAAAATGGTCATCTAAACTTTCCTTGAAAATTCACCTGATGAGCGCTCTGCAACTTTTGCAGAAAGCCTGTTTCAATACTCACCTATACTTGCAGCTGGAAAATTGAACTTAATGTTGAAACTAAATCTCCCCTGATGCGAATGAATACAGTGACTTTTTGCCCTATCACTGGTGTCTTTGTAGGCAGTCTTTTACATACCAACATACTGTTCTTTCACCCTGAATCTTCTCTTTTCTGTATGATATAAATCCAGTCTATTCAAGGTTTCTTTGAGTCTGTATTTTCCAAATGAAGGGATAAGATCTTAGAATTATGTGCCAAGATACTATATCAGGGTAGATGGCGTTTGATGAATACTTACTGCTTCTGCTGGGTTAATTTTTGACCCCTTACTCTGAAATAACCCTAATAATCACAGGTTTTCTATAGCAGAATTGGAAGCATGGATTAACACTTGTATTGCTGAAAGCAAATTATGTACTTGCTACAAGTAAAATTTGCTAGCAGTTTGTTGTCTATTTCTTCGTGTGGGACACTGAATAGACAGTGTAGTTCCAATAAACAAGAACAATTCCCAGTGAATCCTTCTTTTATGCATGCCTATTTTGCTGTCTTTTCATTTCCCAAATGGTGATTTTTCAAACATTTCCCCAAAATATCATTAGCATAGTAGTTTAAAAGTCAGTGAAAAAGCTTGAGATGTAGTTTTCCACTGTTAGGTTTCCTGGGATTATTCAGAATAGAGATGTCCTGATTAAATATTATTGTTACTGTATTGTGGTTTTGCGTCGCCAGTCCAGTTCTTGAAAAGGGAATTTTTCTTGGTCCACCAAACTTTTTGCACTGAAGTCAAAGTGGGATAGATGTAGAAACCTTATCACTATAATCAGCAAATATGTACAGGTATTGTCATTGACCATTCTGCAGTATATGCTGTTCTTACCTCAGAGATTGTAAGCCTCCATAACGATCATTTGACCATGTGTGACTCTGATGTTGTACCATTTGTACACTTTTACTTGAAACAAGACATTAGATTTTAGGTACCAGATTTTTTTTTTCTTTACATCTTCAACTGCAGTCTTAGAATTTATTTTAGAAAAACATGATTGTCTATCTGTGATAAGGTTTTCTCATAACCATAGACAATTTTATTTATATAGGATGTTCTTCTACTTAATTTTTCAGGGCTCTTTCTCAGGATGATCAAGATGATACCCATTTAAAAATAGAGGGTATCATTCAGATGGTAAGTTCATTCATATTGAAATTTAAACATAAAAACTCCTATAGAAATGTTGTGGCTTTAAGTAAATAAAGGTAGCACAACGGCAACTTTACAACTCTGGACAGAAATACTGTTCTTTTACATCAGAAATGTACCTTTCAGTTTAGAGAAGGTAAGAATTTGGAGCCTATATCAGAGGTGAACAGGTCAAATCTTTAGGATTTGGATTTAAATCACATGATGATAAAAAAAGAGAAACATATTAATGTATATGAAATTATAAGTGTCTGCCATCTCAGCTGCTATCAGAACCATAGCCGGCCTTGACTGACAATGCCCGTCCTCCTCCATACTGTATCACCACCATCTTGTAAGTGCATTGCATTAATCTGATGAAGAGTTTGGGCAGTGAACTAGGTGCAGAGTGGTTATGTGGAAAGTAACATGGAATACACAGACTTGACGTACGTACTTACTCATGACTTGGTATGTCCCTGTTTTCCTGTGAGTTTCCAGCCTGATGTTTACCCTTACATTGTTAGCAATTTTTCTTACTTCTTATTTCTTTGTAGCAAAGAAGTTAATTACAACTCTGTGTTGAAAGTTCATGTGAAGTTCTTAGTACTCTGTGCTTTGAACTGTCCTTTGATGCACAAAAAGATCATTAAGCATTCTCCTTATTTTTACAGTCAGATTGTCGAAAACCAGAGTGCTTTGAGACTTTGTCAGCCATGGAGCTTGCAGAGCAAATAACTCTTTTAGATCACATAATTTTCCGAAGAATACCATATGAGTAAGTGTTCTCCTATGAGTGACTGAAGTGAGTACGGTGGATGAGTTACCAAATGGCAGTGTTAGGCACTACGCTAATTCATGCTACTGACAAAAAGGTTTGCATACATAACAGGAGAATGTCCTTTGACTGTCTCTGTCATTGCCTCTGACTCCCCTATAGTGTGATCATGTTTTGAAAGACTGAGTTCTTTGCTAGGAAAGAAATCTGTGGTCTAAGGCTCTGAGCTAGTGAAGGGTGAGTACAGTATGGAAGTGCTGTGTCTTTCAGGAGGGAGTGTCAAATCAGCTTCATGCGTACTACAGTTTAACATGGATATAACCATGTAAGCTGATGAGACCAATTTCAAATAGGACCACAATGCTGAAAATTAGGATGAGGGGATTGGGGGAGGGGATTAAAAGAAAAATAAATCTTTATAGTATTTACTGCTTCAGACAGCATTAAAAATGGTATAGTGAAATGCTGGAATTACTGTAAAGCTGTGTTACTAGCTTGTAACAAAATGAGTTATAGTTGAAATCCACTTAGGCTACAGTTACAGACAGAGATTCTGTACTGTGTATACTAAGAGCATTTCTGTTTGGTTTTTTTCTCTTCCCTCAATATCTAGAGAGTTTCTTGGGCAGGGCTGGATGAAAGCAGATAAAAATCAGAGAACACCCTGTATTATGAAAACTAGTCAACATTTTAATGATGTAAGTACTCTTAAATATAGATTGCTGTCTAGAAACTCTGTTGACACTGTCTATAACCTCTGGAACAAAATACTTCTTTTTTTTACAATGTGGTGTAACTTCTTATCTAGTAGCAAGTGAATGTTACAGGTTTTTGTGATTAACCTCTTAAATCAAAGCTCAGGAAGATTCTTGTTTTCAAGAATTGGTACTCAGCATTTCAATGGCAATTTAATAGAGTAGAATATTTTAAATTGTACTGCAATGCCTTGTTGCTTACAGAAGAAACTAAATTTTCTCCAGAGACTGAAAATATAACACCAATTCTGTTTAATGAATGCCCTTTGTATCCCAAACTGTATCTTTGCTTTTTACCATTTCCCAATCAGTTTTATTACTGTTTACTTGGAGATACTCCCCACTGCATCTCTCACCCTTTTTTCATATCAACATTCCCTACAACACTGTTCTCAATACACTTCCTCTGGCTTTGTTGAGAGCCATGAGTTCTGTTGTGCATTAGTTCTTTTCTGCCTTATTCATGAAATAATTATGTGTTTAAAGGGATTAAATTATTTAAATGTCCTAAATTTCTTCCTCTTTGTTTGGTCAGATGAGTAACCTTGTTGCCTCCCAAATCATGAATTATGCTGATGTCAGCTCCCGGGCTAACTCAATTGAAAAGTGGGTAGCAGTAGCTGATATCTGTCGATGTATGCACAATTATAACGGTGTGTTAGAAATCACATCAGCCTTGAACAGAAGTGCAATCTACAGACTTAAGAAAACTTGGAGTAAAGTATCCAAACAGGTAAGAAAGATACAATTACAGTATGGTTTCTAGATTTCACTGGTCAGTGTGTTCAGAAAAGAGTATGTTGAGATAGGATTCCTCCCATAAATACTTCTACTTTTACAATACTCTGATTATTTGCTGGAAACACCAAGTGGTACTGATATTTCATGTCAAAGTATTTTGTATTTATCTTACCCCTTTTTTGGTATCATTAATTAAATATCTGTTGGAACAAACTGATGTCAGTTGAAGTAGCAGGTGCCTAAACCTATGACCTGAGCCTGAAGTACTGAAATATTTGAGAAAACTAATTTAGATATTTCCAGATAGGTACATCCAGGTGATTACTAGCTATAAATACAGTCGGCTCAGGTGCCTAAAAAAGGAGCCATATTTCACTGCCTGTGGAGAAAGTCAGTAGAAAGATCAGCATTTCCTCTCAAGGTGCTGGGGGTTTTTGCTACCCAGTAAGAGACTGTAGATAACCAGAGCTCTTTCTCATTTAGGTGCCTAAGTTCAGATGCTAGTGGACTAGATGATCTGCAGAGGTCCCTTCCAACTCCTGCCGTTCTGTGATTCTGTGAATATCTCCCTTTAACCCCTACCTTGCTGCTGAGACTGTCAGCAGCTTGGCTGAGCCTGTGAGAATGGCTGCCAATAACAAAAATAAAACACAAAAAAAAAGCCCAACCAGGATGAAGAGTATCCAGTCTTTTATAGGGAGTTGGACTCAATGATCCTAATGGGTCCCTTCCAACTTGAGATGTTGTATGATTCTATGATTTTGTGTTCTCTGTTTTAAATGGTTTGGAGAAATTGGTTGAATCTCATCTTTCTGCTATTTAAAAAAAAAAAAAAAGTTAATATTTTGGTATGGTGGAATAACAGAGCAAGGAGGTCAGTAGGAGAGTCAATCACTTGTAAGTTAGGCAGTATTTGGATACAGGGTTTACTCCAGCTACTTGGAAGATTTCAGATTGCCCTTTTAGCTGTTGATAATTTACATGCAAAAGGTGGACTTGTATCATTGCATTTCTTCCTCCGTATGTTTCTGCAGCTTTTGCAAAGCACTCAAGCAGCCCAAGCATTGAAATCCACTTAGTATACATTCTGACCGCACTGCCTTCTTTCTCCAGTCAGCTTTTTCTCAGATGCTTTATAGTTGGTGCTATGTTCATTTATTTAAAAAATGCTGAAAATCCTTTCAGTACAAACAGTTATGTGAGTTTACCTCCGAAAGTTTTATGTTTAAAATCTGTTTGATTTTTAAACTTCTCAATTAAAAAACCCAAAACAACAGATTAATGTTGTTGCACAGTTCTCCACTACTTATTAGAAACAATCTGAGTGTTTCGCCAGCCTGCTGTTTAGAAAAAAAAAGAAAGTGTCTGATTCTGCCTACAGCTTTCTCTTAATTGGAAGTTCCATTTCAAATATGACAAATTTCTCACGATTCTTTATACTGTCTCAAGTCTATAGCATAAATAGACTGAAAAGCAAATTTATTTTGCTTACGAGGTAACCAGGTGCTGATGGTGCCCACTGAAAGTAATTTGTGTAAGACAGTAATATATTTTTAAATACATATTCAGCTTTTATCAGAAACTTGGTAGCAAAATCAGCTTAATGCAAGCTGCAAGACAGTAAACATCCTTTTCTGTCACTAATTTCAGTAAATGCAGCTGAAGATCGTCATGTAAGATTGCTGACCATTAATTTAATGAACTTGTGTATTTTTCCTGAATATGCAGGCTAATAATATGAGCATAGATACATATTCTCTACATCACTGAAAGGAAAATCTTTAAAGCTGCCTAATCTCCATTTTCAGAAATACACTAGGAACTACAGTGAAGCCACATTGCTAATGCCTATGTTATTACCTTTGAAAATGGGGTGAAGATGCTAAGTGAATTACACCTTTTCTAAAATCTAATCCCAGTCATTTATGTGCAACAGCAATGACATTTGTAATGCATTTTCTTTCTAGACAAAAGCTCTCATGGACAAACTTCAGAAGACTGTATCATCGGAAGGAAGATTTAAAAATCTTAGAGAAACGCTCAAAAAGTATGCTTCTCTACACCACACAATTGTGTTTTCTTATTAGCAGTGGATAGTACTTGTTAAAGATGAATTGGCTTTGATTAAGGTTTTATAATTAATA